AAATTAAGCACAAGAGTCAAACTGAATTAGGCACCATTATTTATTTATATCTCATCATTTCAAAGGATTTAAGGCAGCTAGAATTTCATTTGTAGGATTGAGAAATAAAATAGGTTTATAACTAAGTTACGTTTACTATATGTCTAGAAACAGGACTCCTAGAATAAGAATATTCTGATACTATTCAGGGTTCCTAATATTGCAACTTAATAGTAAAATAACACTATATCTGCATCGCTAGATATGTTGCTCATTCTATACCAGAACTGATGCCAAAATCTGTAGTAACTTTGATCTCTTAAGGCCAGATTATAATATTTTTTAAAGGACTGCCAATGGGGAATAGTTACGTATTATAGTAAAGGAACCACAAGCTAAGTATAAAGCTACTAGCTTTAAAGTGCTATTAATGTTGACTGATGTGTTTATAAATTTCCTACTTATTTTAAGATTTTTAAGTGACTTATGAATAATTTAGTTCCCCAAAAGCCTTCCCTTAGAATTTTAAAGCACACATAGGGGAAGTTAAAAAGTTTAGTTAAGCAATTTTGGATGACTGAATTCTACTTGCTGAATAATTTTATATGTTTTAACCCTTCTATTCAGTAAAAATAATCATTATAGCAGTGGGTTTTAAACACTGATGAACATCAGACTTACCTAAAAGACTCAATAAAACACATATTGCGAGACTACAATCCCAGCATTTCTGATTCTGCAGTAGGGCTACAGTGAAACTTTAATATTTGTATTTCCTACAAGTTCCCAAGTGTTGCTGAGAAAGCTGGCCTGGGGACCCCATTTGGGAACTAGTGCTTTGTCTACCTCAGAGACAGTTAAGATTAGTTAGTGTTACACACCTATTATGAAATTAATCTAAACCTTTTTATATGAAAGCTATAACCTAATAACAACCTAAGGATATGGGGGGGGGGGAAGGGGGGGAGGGAGAGGGATTCGAGGGTTCACTTCTGTGGTTCATCTTGCAAGGGTACAAGTGAATCTTTCTATGAGTAGAATATGAATGTTTTGACATAATAACTAAGAAAGTTACATGAAGGCTATGTTAACCAGTTTGATGGAAATGTCATGGATTGTGTGTGAAAACACCACACTGTACCCCCAAAGTACATCAATGTACACAGTTACCATTCAATAAAAAAAAAAAAAAAGATTAGTGTTATCACCTGTAAATCCTGCTGCCCCAGGAGAATGGCTACAGCACACTGAAATACAGTTACCGACTGAAATACAACCCAAGCTCACCAACCATCTTAGCATCTAGAAAAATAACAAAATATAGAATATTAGGAGAAAACATTGGAAATTGAGAGTATGTGCTTATAAAATGTCAAAGTGAACAATTTCAATGTCTTAAATGTTTGAATATTAATTTCTTTTCCCAAGCTTTGGTTCCTATTAGTAATAAATCCTTTAAACTCCTTCCATATTAAATAGACAACTTTCATATTAAATGAAAAAGTAAAAGAGACTAAGGTCATTTCCTGTGTGTCAATCATGCTCTGTAATAATTAGAAAGTTCTTAAAAGACCAGTCCATTCATTGGCCAGATAAATTTTTCATCATCTAATTCTATAAATAATTGAAAAAGAATGAATTAACTTTTAATAACATTCAAAGAGTCCCACACTTTTTTTTCAATCTTTGGTAAACATTATCACAGTAATTATTTCCTACAGCAAATATTGATGTAGTTGGGTTATATTGGCTGTTAAGAGAAACTTCTATTTTATAAACTGACAAAATGTAAGCTTAACACATACTTTTTAATTTTGCAAATAACTGGTACACACATAAAGTTGATGTTTCATATTTGATGAATATGTGAAATTATGTTATCATAGAGCAGAAGTGTCAATATTTTTCCCATATAGTGGCCTTCAGAAAATCTGCAAATGTACATGAAAATTTGGGAACATAAGTGACTTTCCACCTGCTCCTTCAGAAATATACTGCCTTAGCTATATGATGGCAATAAGTATCATTAAAAAGTACAACAGTTTGTGAAATAATTGTATTTTTATGGATCCAAGGACAAAGCAATCAGATTTGTCTTTTCTCCCTCTTTTTGCTGAGTACTAGTCTTATACTCTACCTACCAACCTTTAGAGGGAGCCTTGGCTCTTCTGGAAGATTACTGCTTGCCAACTCTAACTTGGCTAGAGTCTTCCCAGAAAGATGGTACAACCTAGAAAAGGTCAAAGGCGCTGATCCTCTGATTTGCTGGTAGATAGAACAGCTGGTGCAGGGGTTTAAAAGATCCAAAATAAACTAATAATAACTAGTGATTGCCACCGTTGTGTCACATGACTGTGGTTAAGGACAACTGCAGAGAATATGAAAGTGTCGGACAGTCCGCACTCGACAGCCGAGCAGCAAGCAGGGTGAGGGTAGGAAGACAGAATTCTAAGGATGAGGCTTAACTCTGCCATTTCCTAATTTTGTGAACTTGGAAAAGTTGTTTAACATTCCTTTGCCTGAGTTCCTCATCTCTAAAACAGAGATACAGGAAGTAATAACCATATCTTTCTCACAGGGTTTTTAGGAGAGTCAAATGAGTTAATATACTATATAAAATGCTAGATCACTGCTGGGATACTCTGATTATATACATGCATAATATTTATTTACATGTAATATTTATATTATATAAATGTATTACATAGAAATATATATTGTGATATGTTTATCATATTAAAAGTGATATTAGTGATAGCAATTATTATCATTTATTCCATTTTTAGAATCATTCTGTGGTCCTCTTTCTCATCTTATTCTATATTCAGTTTCAATGCTGCTCAATTTCTACTGCCTCTGTTATTTTTATTCGGAAAACCTCAATTCTAAAGTAGGATATTAACCAAATCTAAATGGCTGTAATATTCTTAAATATTATAATTCTGGTTTAAACCATTCATTAATTTCCATCACTTTATTGAAACACACAGACGCAAGCATCTCACTTTAGTTTCTTTTCACAAGCAAATTTAGACCTCAATACTAAATTTAAGGCACATTTAACTCTGATGTAAACTAAAATATAAGATAATAAAATGTTAAGTCACATACACTTGATGGAGGTTGTTTACATAAAATAATATCAAGTGGAAATAAAATGTTTCTCCATTTGTGCACTAACAACAATCCCAACATCTTATGTCGTTTTCTATAATAAATAAATTTCCTAGGTTAATTTTCAGACCTAAGGCCTTGAAAACTACTGGCATTAAAAACTTTTTGAGGTTACAAAAGCTTTTTAGGCAACAGTTATGTTGGTGGGTTGCAGTGGGAAAAGAGCTATTGGTCATGTTTGCATATTTGCCAATTATGTTTAAATAATTACAGAATTGAGAAGACAAAGTGTCATGGGAAGTGGATTTTGTGTAATGTCGTCATATACAAACCTTTAGAGGTGTTTACAGAAGTCAGACATTAGAAAAATGTCCCCTACTCCAGATCTGGAATATCCTGTGTTCAAGAATAAATTACTGGCCCCAGTTTTTCCCCTGCATCTATGCCCTCTGCCATGTAAACCTGGCAAGTTCTCCCACTCAAGCTGAAGTGTGGAAGTGTACTTCCTGTCCCCTTTCTTTAGGCTCGAGCATTTGATGTACTCTGGCCAATGCACGTGGACAGAAGTGACAGTGTGATATTTCTCAGCCTAGTCTTTCATTTGTTCAACTGCCATCACCCTAGGAAGAGCTTCCCCTGAGTAGCTGTTTCCTGCTCAATGTGGGTCCCAGAGTAAGCACATGTGGAAGAGACTAATGCCTGACCTGTAACAAAGAGCTTAGTCTAGTATGATTTGCAACCTGAGCAGAGATTTCCAGCACAGCCCAGACCAGTCCAGATTAAGTGATTCTCAGGTGACTGGCAGATATCTGAGAAATAAGTATTTATTTCTGTATGCTATTGCAATTTTATGATTATTTGTTACACAGCTACAGCTGACTGATATATGTTGAGTTTCACATTTCTCAGAAAGGCTTTATCTTTTCCAGATATAATAACTCCAAAATTAATGATGGCCAATAATACAATTTTAGAGACATGGCAGATAGAATTATCAAGTTTTTTTAATTCTAATGGCAGTAGGAATGGTAATTAACTTTTGAAACAATATCACAGATAATTACTAAATAAAATTTGCATTTTGTGTATGCTAAATAGGAAGGTATGTAAAGTATGCTTATTAAGCTTGTAGGTTATTATTTTAATAATCAAAATCAAATAAATGAAATTGCATAACTGGAAAAGTCAAGCAATACTTTAAAGTATATTTCTTGATAGATACTAGAATTTATAAAAGTGCCCCTAATGATTTAATTATATATGCCTTAACAACATTTTAACAATCACAGGACTATTATATTTAATGAACAGAATCAAAATAACAATTTGCTGGGAAAAAAACACAGAACATATTAAAACAACTAACAAGTATTTTTAGAAGGACTTGATAAATGTATTCCTTGTATGAAGTTAAAGGCCATTAGGTTTGCAAGTGTTAAAAACTTTTGTCCTTTTATACAAGTCCCCTATAAGATGACAACGATATAAGTGCAATTATGTAAGAAAAAAGTTTTAAAATTTTTATTTATAACCACTTATTTTCAATACTTTGTGATGACAACGCAGCAAAACTTTAAGATTCACTTCGCATATCAAATGGAAATCTTTCACAATTTAAATATCTTTTCTGAGACAATTAATGGTTCATTTTCAAGAATAATAGAGCTAGATTATACTGAGTGACATACATGGGAACAGGAGGGCATTCTTAACCAAAACTGCCTGATTTTTAGTATAGAAATATAACATTTAATATACAATTTAAGATTAAATTGTATTAATGATTATGTTTAGACATCAATTAAAATGCTTATTTAAAATACTCTCAAAAATCTTTTACACACAAGATCTTCATATATTCAATTTTAGAATACTTCCAGTATTTGGTCAATTGTGAAGGAGCTGTATTAGCTTTGAAGTGTTTCTACCCCTTCCGAGTTCAAGAGAATGCCTAGTCGCCATAAATAAAAAGTAAACAGAGGAAACTCATCTGAAAGTTGGCAGACAGTTTCATCGTGCTTCTGAAGAAACGTCTTGACTTCTTGGTCATCATTTCTTAGACTTACAATGTCGCCTTCTGTGGTTTCCTTTTGAAGAAGCTGCTCCAGGACCCAGAACAGGTAGAAAGTATTTTCATAGCGTGTCACATCATAGCTGGCTGGCTCCTGCAAATAAGCAACAAATTCCTTTAAAAAAACACCGGATGGATATTAGCTCAGAAAAATGTCAAATAAAGTGATTAAATTTTCTTAAAAAATGAAAGTATTTGATTTACTTAATACCTTTTGCCTTCCTGTCCTTTTGATTTGTGGATAGGTATAGAACAGTGATTCTCAACCTGTGGGTCGCAATCCACAGGAACTGTATTAAAGGGCCGTGGCTTTAGGAAGGTTGAGAACCACTGGTATAGAACAAATAATATTTCCTTTTTTCAAAAACTTTACAATCTTGATGGATGATTTTAAAAACTCCAAATGATTTCTCTGCACTCTTGCTATAATGTTTTGCTCAGATGAATCTGACAACACTTGGCAAAGTGTATTACATATACTAAGGCTGACTGCTGAATTCAATATTTTGCCTAAGGTTGCCAACAAACAATGCTTTTGCTAATGACAATGTAAGAATATTTGGGGGCAGGATTTTAGAAACATATTTGGATATAAAACTGTCCCAAAGCAGGTAGAGTCATGATCTGTAAGTGACCAGATGTGATTTTACACTAAATATTTCTGACAAGTCAGGGGTGGGGGAGAGGAGTACTTAATTAGATCCATGGTCATGAGGAGATGTGCCCGGTGGAACCTGTTATTTGGCATATGTGGCTGAATGTGAAACAGGTCAAAAAATGGCCTAAAAAGTAGACAAAGGGAAGTATAACATAGAAGAACAGAGAATCTGCCTGAGAACAGCTTAGTAATTAAGAAACGTGTGAAAGTCCTATGAGGAAAGTGGAATATTCATCACTATTGTATAGGAAAGGAAACAGATCCTCCAAAAAGTAGGATAATGAGAACTCAATTCTCCAGATCCTTACCAGGTTTTTTTCTTTTTTTTTTCCTTATGCATTTTGCTCAAGTTCATTAAAAAAGTATTACCATATTACCATGAGGGGGAAAAAAAGGAGAAAGTTATGGGTAAGAAACACTTATCGAATTTATCTAGTGTAACATGTCATAAAAGAAAAAAACATCTGAGTGCAGAGGAAGACATTCTTCAGGAAGGTGGCCTAATAAACACTGTCCAGTAGACAGAGGTGAGCCTGCTTCTTCTTGGGCCCAGTCATGCAGTCCAGTAGACAGAGGTGGCCTGCTCTTGTTGGGCCCAGTAACGCAGTCCAGTAGGCAGAGGTGGCCTGCTCTTGTTGGGCCCAGTAACGCAGTCCAGTAGGCAGAGGTGAGCCTGCTCTTGTTGGGCCCAGTAACGCAGTCCAGTAGGCAGAGGTGAGCCTGCTCTTGTTAGGCCCAGTAACACAGTCCAGCAGGCAGAGGTGAGCCTGCTCTTGTTGGGCCCAGTAACGCAGTCCAGTAGACAGAGGTGAGCCTGCTCTTGTTGGGCCCAGTAACGCAGTCCAGTA